AAGACTTAAATTGTTTCCCTGCTTCTCTGCTTCTCTGCTTCTCTCTCTAAGTAAAGCTTCAATTTTTACCTTTTTACCTTTTTACCTCTGCTTTGTTCATCTTTTCTCTTCACCCATTACACGAATTTACTAAAAATTCGTGAATTTGCAATTGTTTTCTCCTTCAGACTGGATCTAGTACTTAAGCCTCTAGCTAAGTAAGTAGCAGCTTTAAAAAAAGGTTGGTAGATTTTCTCTTTTCTAGAAAAAAGTTTGCTTTTTAGTTGCTGATTACTGTTATATCATGTCCATTTGTGTCATCAATCTTTAATCTTTTGTCATGGGTTTAGTGAGATCATTGATCCTCTGTTCCTTCTTTTGTTGGTTTTTTTGGTTTCTCATTTGCTCTTATAAATGCTAAAGAACATTAATAATGTGTGTTTTTGAGGACTTGATCGGTATGATATAGCGACATTAGCTCTTTCAATGTAATATCACTTGTAGGTTAGTGTTCATTACGGTTTGTGACATTCGCGAGGCGGAAAGAGATAAAAGCTGATTAGTATGGCAGTTTCGATGAGAGATTTAGATCCAGCTTTTCAAGGAGCTGGACAGAAAGCGTATCCTTTATTTTAGACCATTGTTGTATGTATCTTGACCTCTAGCTTCTGTGAAGATTAATGTCCTTAACAATGATTTAGCGGGATTGAGGTTTGGCGTATCGAAAGCTTCCGCCCTGTCCTTGCTCCAAAATCTTCTCATGGGAAGTTTTTCACTGGAGATTCTTACATAGTATTAAAGGTATATATATATCCTCATACCTACATTTGCTCTTATAGCGGTTTTTTTTTCTTTTAAATCGGTTTTTATGGCCAGACAACCGCGCTAAAAACTGGTGCCTTGCGCCATGATATACACTACTGGCTTGGTAAAGATACTTCTCAGGTAAAAACTCTGTTTTATGTTTTTTTTACATTTTACTTTTGTAGGGAGAGTGAAAGTTGAAATGATATTAATGAGGGGATAAAAATGAGTTTCTATTGCTTAGGATGAAGCGGGAACTGCAGCTGTTAAGACAGTTGAATTAGACGCTGCTCTTGGAGGTCACGCAGTTCAGTATCGAGAAATTCAAGGCAATGAAACCGAGAAATTCCTGTCGTATTTTAAACCATGTATCATACCTCAAGAAGGTAGAGTTGCATCAGGATTTAATCATGTTGAAGCTGAGGAACATAAGACATGTTTGTTCGCTTGCAGAGGAAAACATGTTGTCCATGTGAAAGAGGCAAGAAACTTCATTTCGGTTACAAAGAGTTTTTTTCTGGTTATCTGCTGTATCTCACTTTCTTGGTTGATTACAGGTTCCGGTTGCTAGGACTTATTTAAACCACGACGACATTTTTATTCTCGACACAAAGTCCAAGATTTTCCAATTTAATGGCTCAAATGCTATAATCCAAGAGAGAGCAAAGGCATTAGAAGTTGTGCAGTACATCAAAGATACTTACCATGATGGGAAATGTGAAGTTGCTACTGTTGGTTAGTTAGACATAAGCTTAATGGTCCGGCGTTATATACTTCACATTTGCGTAATTGCGTATGTTTCTTGCAGAAGATGGGAGGCTTATGGCTGATGCTGAAAGTGGAGAATTTTGGGGTTTCTTTGGTGGATTCGCTCCGCTTCCTAGAAAAACTGTTTGTGATGAGGAGAAGACTAACCATTCTGATATCGCAAAACTCTTTTGGTAACATTCTTCTCCTTATATACATTTTGTATATATGACTATTACTTGAATTCATACTCAAAAAGAAAACTTCACACTCACTTTTATATATTTGGCTTTGTGGTTTTCAAGTGTTGAGAAAGGACAGGCAAATCAAGTTAAAGGTGATGAATTGAAACAGGAGATGTTCGATTCGTATCACTGTTACATTCTTGATTGTGGATTTGAAGTATTTGTTTGGATGGGAAGAAACACTTCACTTGATAACAGAAAAAGTGCAAGTAGAGCTGCAGAAGTAAGTTCCCTAATCGAAACAATTGAGTTTTTGTCTTGATGTTGCTGATATAGTTAGTACCATGTAGGAAATGATTCGTTTATCCGAAAGGTCCAAGTCGCAGATTATCCGCGTAATAGAAGGGTTTGAAACTGTAGCATTCCGATCAAAGTTTGAATCTTGGACTCAAAAAACTAATTCAACTTTGTCCAACAATGGTAGAGGCAGAGTTGCTGGTAAGTAAAAATGTTTTCATAAATTTGATATAACACTTATGTGACTTAAGTGTCTGTTTGTTTGTAACTTGCAGCACTATTGCAACGACAAGGAGTAAATGTGAGCGGCCTCCTTAAAGCTTCTCCTCCTAAAGAAGAGCCACAAGCTCACATCGATTGCAGAGGAAATCTGCAGGTACTACTAAAATTCTCTCTACTATATCCTTATCCTTTGAGATGATTATTTGCAGTTTGATTGTATTATGTTTCTATTGTCCTAACATTGTATTCTATGGATGAAAAATGCGTCTTTTGTATATCGTATAATGGCTGCATTTCTGAAACAGGTTTGGCGGGTGGACGGTCAGGAGAAGATTCTCCTTGAAGCTGCTGATCAGTCAAAGTTCTACAGTGGAGACTGTTACATATTCCATTATTCTTATCCCGGGGAATACAAAGAGGAGGTTCTTATAGGGACGTGGTGCGGGGCGCAAAGCGTGGAGGTAAAGTAAAGAATGTGTGATTGATTTTCAAAATTGAAAACATTTTTATACAAGTTTCTAAATGGTGTTTGTGTTTATTATATAGGAAGAAAGATCTTCTGCTGTCTACATGGCAATCAAAATGGTTGAAGCAATGAAATTTGTGCCAGCTCAAGTAAAACTACAATTTGTGTAATCAAATTTGTATTATATATATATTGGCTTAGTATGTATGTACCTAAACTTGGATGTTTTTTCTTATCTTTAGGCTCGCATCTACCAAGGAAAAGAACCTATTCAATTCTTTGTGATAATGCAAAGCTTTATTGTTTTCAAGGTGATTGAATCGTATTGTTATAGTCTACAGTTTTTTACTTTCATTATGTCATCTTTATTTATGTTTCTGATATGTTTAATTTGTTTTTTGCAGGGTGGTCTTAGCAATGGATACAAAAAACACATAGCAGAGAAAGAAATTCAAGATGATACATACAACGAGAATGGTTTGGCTCTGTTTCGGATTCAAGGGTTTGGTCCAGAGAATATGCAAGCAATACAAGTTGACCCGGTATGTCGTTTATCTTGTTCATTCTACTTTATGAACCTCTACCAAGAAAATTGTCGTGATCAATTTTTAGTTTGTTACAAAGCCCTCTGAAAATGTTGTATGAAAATTCTAATGAATTATCATTTTTCTTGATTCATTATTAACAGGTTGCTTCATCCTTGAACTCCTCATACTGGTATATACTACATAACGGATCATCGGTGTTCACTTGGTCTGGGAATCTAGCAGCCTCATTTGACCAGGAACTTGTAGAAAGGCAGCTAGATGTTATCAAGGTGAGTTAAGTTTCTTACTCCATCATGTGTTCTTGGTAAATCTTGTTAATTTCAATATTTTAGAAAGCAGTAGATCTATATATGTGTCTGTTATTTTGTTTCCAGCCAAATCTACAGACAAGAGCACAAAGGGAAGGCTCAGAATCTGAACAATTCTGGGAGCTTTTAGGAGGAAAATCAGACTATCCGAGCCAAAAGCCTACAAGCGAACCCGAGAATGACCCTCATTTGTTCGCTTGCGCTTTCACGAAAGGTACAATATTTGATCAAATTCATCATCTTTCTTCTGTTTTAATCCTAACTCTGT